CCTATCATCCAAAAAAAGATAATTCATGCGGATAGTCTATCAAGACTAGTACCGAGTCAAGAAGAAAGATTCGAAGAATCAATTATTGCAAATATCAGAGCAGATTATGAGGTGAAAAGCATGGTAAACAACATTGTAAGAGAGCTACAGTTCGCTAAATGAAATTAAAAAAAAGAAGCTGAAAGCGATGATTTCATTTAGAAATTAAAAAAAGCAAAATGGTAGCAAATGACCAAAAGGTACAGGAGATTTTTTTCAATAGGTGATGGAGTTTTATTATATGGTGAGAGAGTAGTAATACCAAAGAAGCTGCAGAAAAGAATACTTCGGGACTTTCATATGGGTCACCGGGTATTAATAGAACAAAAAGCTTAATCTGAAGCTTTGTGTATTGGAAAGGAATGGATGTGGATATCGAAAACATGGTTCATCGATGTAAAGGGTGTGCGTTAGCAGCTAAGGCACCACCTATAGTACACAAACCATGGCCCAAGACGGATCATCCGTGGACAAGATTACACATTGATTTCGCTGGTCCAGTAGAAGATTTTTACTACTTAATAGTGGTAGATAGTTTTACAAAATGGCGGAAGTACTACGCTGTAAAAAGCCTACGTCCAATACCACAACAACTTTTTTGCATGAACTATTTGCATTGGTTGATTGTGCCAGAGTGTATTGTGAGTGACAATGGTACACAATTCACTTCTGAAGAATTTAAGGAATTTTGTGAGTTATATCAAATTAACCACATAACGACGCCTCCGTATCATCCGAGGTCTAATGGACTCGCAGAAAGATTTGTCGATACTTTAAAGCGAGCTTTGAAGAAAGCCTCAGGAGTTCCAACGGAAAAGGCGCTTCAGCAATTCTTACAAGTATACAGAATACACCTGAACCAAGAAGATCCGGTAGGAAACGGAAGTTGACGGACCCATTGAACGTGAATCCAAAACGGAAAAAATATTAAAATTAGGCAAATGGATCTACAAAGAAATAGCCATAATCATCAACCCATATAGGAAGCCAATTTGAAATCCAAAAGGGATTCCAAGGCTTGGGAGGAGGGTGTTGTGTACGATACACCTAATTTACATAAGTGGAGTACCGACCATATAAATATGGGTTGGTACCGGAAGACGGGGGTTAGAAGAAGAAGAGATCGAATCGAGAGACTCTGCCCGACTGCGATTTAGTCAACCCATTATCAGGAACAATCTTCCCAAGAATATACCAAAACTAACTGTAAATATTGTGTACCTTTTCCTTGTTTCAATACATTTTGTTAACGTACATTTTGTGTTGTATTATTATTATTCCATGCTTATCCAAGTTTCAACATAAAGCTTCATCAGAGAATGAAATTTAGAGAAGAAAAAGAAAAAAGCAACCTTTTGAACTCATTCATAATCATCATCTTTATCCTCTTGACTTTTGTAATCATAGCGGGGATCCAAATGCATAAGCTATATTGAATCTCCTCCACAACAGTCTATCAATGGCATCCATCAGCAATTCTGGTATAGTCATACTTGTCCATTGTTTTACATTGTCCAACCAGTTTTTGTGTTGATATCCTCTCTTATGCCCACCTTCAATGGTGCCTTGCATGAAGGTCTTGCACAGGCTGTCATTCCTTGTAATGTGTCCAAACCACACCGTTTTGCTCCATTTGACAGTGGCTCGTAATACACAAATAAAACAGGCTATAACTTTGATTTTATAAAAGCCACTTTAATTAGAAAAGAGCATAATTCTTTACACAGGAAATACTTTGAGATTAGTTCAGATAAATATTTTGCCATCCATAAATATACATCAAACATACTTTATTATCTCACTAACTTTTTAAAAATCTGTAAAGTGCCTAGAATATGTCTACCTGCAATTACAAATAGTATAACTTCAATTCTTTCAACTTCACACAAAATGTCCTCAAATCAAAATGTGGACAACCACCAAACAGGGATAAAATTGCCTATGAGATGAACACACACAAACACGTGAATATACATTATGATCCCACATAGACAAACTAGAATTATGATACACATACATACATGTATTATACATATGAATGCTACTTGATAAAACTGATGCATATGAAGTATGCTTAACCAAGAGAAAACAAACAACACAAAAATAAAAAATACCAGAATATTTTTTGTCCTCCATATTTTATTCTCTGATGAAGTTTTAATAAAATTGAAATATAATTATGAACATTTCCTATTTGTTCCTTATCCAACTATTCTGTTGGATTCCAATCCATATTGGATCCCAATGTATATATATATATATATATATATATATATATATTTTTTTTTTTTTTTTTTGAGCAATAAAAAATATTAAAAAATTAAAATCTTCAGACACACTGGGTTGTATATTAATATTCCTTCATTTTTATTATTATTTCATTTAGATTCCTTGACTAGTTTCAGCCAACATGGCCATCATCTGGAGAAAAATAATTTTCTGCTTGCTGGTAGCAGTGAACTACAGAAATGAATGTCTTGATGGAGAAAATGAACTTTTGTCTGTAGTTTTCATTTGTTTTTTTTAGTTTTTTTTATCATGAATTTTGGTCAGTCTTTGTGTTGGTCAAACAGTCTCTTTTAAGTTGTTATTTAAGATAAGAGCTGGATGGATTCATGCTGCTCTGAATTCCCTTGGTCATTTTGACATTCATATATATATATATATATATAGGCAGTATATCTTTATTCAAGCATGTTTCATTGAATAATCTGGACATATTATGCCTATTTAGTTTTATTTTAATCCCCCCAAGTTCATGGATCAATTTCTTAATGTTATTAAAATCATGAAGGAAGAAGTCATAATCATTTCTTTTATTTTCCCTAGTACTTTCTGACAAAAACATAAATATATGTTGGTTTCATGGCAACAACATTATCAAGGAGGCTTACATTACATATGTCAGATTCAAGTTCTGTTGCTCAACATTTAAAAGAACATTTCTGTTCACAGTCACGTTTTAGAGAAATATTATCGACAATACAAGTATATTCTACCATGAAAATAAAAAACAAAAACTTTAAATTCTTGAAGCCCTCTATATAATGAGTTTAATAACAACATTAAGAAATTGATCCATGAATTTGAGAGGATTAAAATAAAACTAAATAGACGTAATATGTCCAGATTATTCAGCAGAACATCCTTATGAAGATATATATTTAATAGATTGTACAAAAATGTATATATGAATATACAAAATGCTTAATGGCATACATCAGCAAAACCTTGAGAAATCTCAATAAAAGACTATATGAGCATTACAGATATTATACTGAATAACAATCCTTTAAACACACTAGTAATTCACTGTAACAATTTCAACTTATTAAATGCCAATCTGATCAAAAGATCACAAAGAAAATGCATTGAGAGTGCACTGATCTCATAAGTCTCAACAATAAACTTATTACCAAGTATCATATAATATAATTACCAATCATCACAAAATCTGGTCTACAAGCTAATACAAAAAAAAAAAAAAAACAGTTATCTACTTGGAGTGGGCTAATTTTAAATCCAGCATATACTGATGGCTTTAATGAAAGAAAAATAGAAGCACTTTCTGATCATTGGATCTGATGAGGTAATTTGATTTATTGTCCCTCGTAACCCCCTAAAATTGCATACATATATATATATATATATATATATATATATACACACATACATAAAATGTCGTCTAAATTACGCAAAAATGAAAATAACTCTGACATCTCATTTTAACAGATATATTTATCAAAATTACACAAAAATATCTTGAAATACTAAAAGCAAATTTTTTCAATAAAATCACCATTGGTTTCAACCACGGCCTCCAGGTGACTGCAGAATCTCCTGCAAATTTTTCTGGATGGTCTCCTTGTTTGTGAATGCTGCCATAATCCTTACCTTCAGTTCATCTTTGGTATTACAAGGAGTTTTGTTAGTCTCTCATTCAACTGTGTCCCACACGTTATAATCTAGGGGTTGCAGTCTGGGGAGTTAGGTGGCCAGATTTAAGGGGTGATGTGGTTGCAGAAACTACCTGACAGCCATGACTGGGTTCTCCTGCTTGTGTGGCATGGTGCAGAGTCATGTTGCTAGACATTGGGTCTTTCAGCAGCCACCCTCTTGACCCAGGGCAGCACTGCCTCCTCAAGGCATTTGATGTAGGTCTCCATGTTGAGTCTGTGAGCCTGTGGGAAGATGAATGGAGGCATAATGTCGCCATTACTAGTGATCACTCCAAATACCTTCATAATCACCATTAGACTCATCCAACTCTTTTCAAATCCTCTGTATTGTCTTCAGATTGTCACCCAGACACTCTGAAATGTTTGTATTGGAGCTTCCTGCATGAATGCCAAGCAGTATTGCATGCTGTTTCTAAATTTCTGGTGGAATGAATTGCATCATAGAGCTCTTTTTCTTACAGATGGTGCCCAACTGACCCTACTGTACTGTGCAGTTGACAAAATTAAAAACAGACAACATGTATGTGCAAAATTAAATATATGAAATGGCGACAATTCACCCATCGCACTCTGTATATATGGTTTACATTAGTCAAGGATATAATGCATTTCTCTGGTTCCTGTAGATGTTGATCAATATAAAAACCTTATTTATTCTTTTTTGTTCCCAGTTGCAAAAAATAAAATTCTTAGACATTAAGTCATGCTAAAGTAGTTGCAACATTTCTTGAAATAAAATCTGTCTGATGGCTCCAAGCAGATTCTTACAATGCCTACACCTGGAATATTGTCACACAAATTGCTACATTATTTTTGTCTGTTTTTTACTCTTTGTTTTTGCTTTTTTTTTTTTTTTTTGATCATCTTGAAATTTAAGCTGCTTACTTGACAATGTTCTGTTCACGCTCTGGATAACTTGCATGAAGATTTTCTTTGTCATAATGATTCCCTGCTTTGTTTTTCCCATTTTTTTTTTTTTTTACTTTTATGCATTTTAAAAAGAAAAAATTGTTTTTTCTTTTTTCATTATTCTTTTACCTTTTTTTTCATTGTTTTTGTATTTTTTCCTTCCATTCTTTCTCTTCTAATTCTCTCTTTCTTTTTTGCTTCATTTTTTTTTTCTGTTCTTATTTTATTTCATTCTTCCTTTCATTTTCACTTTTTTCTTTCTAATTATTTTCCTTCAGTCCTTGTTTCTGTATTTTCTTTCTTTCCCATTCTTTTTCATTTTGCTTCTTTTCTTTCTTTCTCATTTTTTTTTGTTTCAGTTCCTGTTTCTTTCTCTCTTTCTTTTTGTTTTTTTCCTTTTTTTTCAGTTTCTGTATTTTCTCTTCTTCTTTCTTTCTTTTCTTTTTTTTTGTTTCTGTTTTTCCATTGTCTTTTATTTCTATTTCCTTCTGCTTCTCTCACATTTTTTTTTTGCTTATTTTTCAATTTTTATCCCATTCTTTTTATCATACTTAGTCTTTTTTTTCTCCTTTTTTTCTCAATTTGTTTTATTTCTGGTTTTATAATTTCTTTCTTTCTTTGCTTTCTCTTCTTCTTTTCATATTTTATTCATTTTCTTCTGTTTGATAATTTCATTCACAAATGCTGATTTTCAGTTTAACATCTTTCTTTCAGTCCTTTTTTTTTTTACTATCTTATGATTTTTGTAATCTTGTTTTATGTTTTTTCTATTTTCTTTTGACTTTTTATTTTTTTCTTCCTTCCCACAATTCCTATTATCTACTCTGTAATTTATCTTTCATATCAACCCATTTCAGTACTTTTTAACTTTGAAAAAATGATTATATGAAATGAAAGAAAAAATTTGAGACATTATTATAAAGAAATGTATGTGAGACTTGATTTTTTGCAAATATCTTACAAATAATTTATAAATACATTGGCACAAAAATGCTAATATCAAAATGTAACACATTTATTCAGGTCTTTCCTTTTATTTTATTTTTTTCATTGTCTTTCCTTTTACTTTCTTTTTTCGTTGTCTTTCCTTTTACTTTCTTTTTTTCGTTGTCTTTTCTTTTACTTCCTTTTTTTGTTGTCTTTTCTTTTACTTCCATTTTTTTGTTGTCTTTCCTTTTACTTTTTTTTTGTTGTCTTTCCTTTTACTTTCTCTTTTTCATTGTCTTTCCTTTTACTTTCTCTTTTTCATTGGTTTTCCTTTTACTTTCTTTTTTTCATTGTCTTTCCTTTTACTTTCTTTTTTTCTTTGTCTTTCCTTTTACTTTCTTTTTTTTGTTGTCTTTTCTTTTACTTCCTTTTTTTCATTGACTTTCCTTTTACTTTCTTTTTTTCATTGTCTTTCGTTTTACTTTATTTTTTTCATTGTCTTTCCTTTTACTTTATTTTTTTCGTTGTCTTTCCTTTTACTTTCTTTTTTTTGTTGTCTTTTCTTTTAGTTTCCCTTTTTCATTGTCTTTCCTTTTACTTTCTTTTTTTCATTGTCTTTCCTTTTACTTTCTCTTTTTCATTGTCTTTCCTTTTACTTTCTTTTTTTCGTTGTCTTTCCTTTTACTTTCTGATTGTTTTCCTTTTGATTTTTTTTCTCTTCCTGTTTTTACACTTTATTTAGTTTCCATTATATCACCTTTTCTTTCTTTGTATTTTTATTTTATTCCTCTTTCTTTCCCTTTATTTTTCTTTCACATTTATTTTCTTTCTCCTTCTTCTTTTATTTACACATTTCTTTTTTCTTTTTTGTTTGAGTTCTTTCTCAATTCCTCACTTTCCCTTTAATGTCTGTGCCTTTTTTTGTTTCTTTCTTTCTTCCTATTTTCACACTTCGCCTTGTTTCTTCTTTCTTTATATTTATATCATTCTCAAATACTTTCTTTCTTTTTTATTCTTTTTCATTCTTTTTTCCTTCTTTCCTTTCTTTACGTCTTCTTATTCTCTGACTTGTAGGGATTACTCCCATCTTGTCTTCCAAGATAACCACTAAATAAAAGAATGGACATAGGTCTCTTTTACTTTCTTTTCATTCTAGAATATGACAGGTAGAAGACTTGTCTAGTCTTTCCTTTTAGGTAAGTTAGTCACCTGGCCATGCAGTTCATCCCATGCATTCACACACTCAAACACATGCACACTACCCTGAACATTACAAATATTTTTTCTTACTCTTTTTAGCCATATGTGTACACACTAGTATATTTTCTCTCTTTTGTGAATCATGTTTTTATATAAAATACATAAACCTGTATCCACATGTTGAAATTTATTCCTTCTGAATGTGGAATATAAGTTCTCAACACAAATCCATTGATCCACAATTATCTACAAATGGATCTACGACCAACTTACCCTCTTTTTTGTTTTTCTTTCTTTTTTTATTTAAATTTTCATTATCTGTCTATATTTCTGAGATGAGGTATGGTAATTATTTACATTATTCAGACTGTTGTGCTCATCTTTATTGCCATATTCACAATGTTTCATCATTCTTTTCTTTATGTTTTACCTTCTCACGTCACCTACTCTTTGTTCCTCGTTTTTGTTTTATTCTTATTTTATTTAGTTTCTCTTTCTTTCTTTAATCATTTCACCACCTCCCCAAGTAAGACAATAAAGCCACTAAGATGCAAGGGGTTACTGAAAGAATCTGAGAAAACCTTATTGAAGAGAAAGGTCAATAAAGGAACAGGATTCATGAAGACAAAAGATGATAAATGAAAATTGCATTTCAATTTTTGAAGATTGTAGTTGACAGGAAAGCAAGAATCTGGAAGAGAGCTGCATAAGTGAGAAGTGTGAGAGAAAAAACTGTTAGTATAGAACCTACGGTTACACTACCAATTTCAACAGTAAAATGAGGAGACCTAACTGCCAATCTAGTACTGAGCTTAAATTCCTTCCTTTTTTTCTTTCTTTCTATCATGTCTTCTTACCCTATCACTTCTAAGTCTTTCTTTCTCTTTTTGTTTTTCTGTTTATTTAATCGATATTTCATCATCTTTCATTCTTTCTTTTTTTAACTGGTCTTCTTGCCTTTACATTTATCCTAGTCTTTCTTTCTCTTTTTTGTTATCTTCTTTCTTTTCTTCATTTCTCTTAACCTCCCACTTCTCTCTTTTTTCTTTATTTAGTTCATTTTCATTTTTTTCTCATTTTCTATTTTTATTCCTTTCTTTTTTCCCCCGTCTTGTTATCCTCTCACATGTCCTTGTCTTTCTTCCTCTTTTTTGCTCACTTCATGCTTCACTCGGCTTCACATCTTTCTTTTTAATTCCCTACTCTGTTAATTTTTATACTTACACTCAATAACCCTCCTCTCTTTCTCTCTGTTTTCTTCTTCCTCTCCATCCTTATGGTCCTTATATTTTTCTTTCTCTTTATATCTCCTCTGAGCATGTTGATTACAAAATACATTCCTCTGTCTCATAACAGGTAACAAAAATCAACTAATACAGGAGCAGATAGTGACTGAGATGAGTCATTATCAATATTTTACTTGACATGCTGAAGGGTGCTTATGTACAAGGAAACTGGTTATATAAAGACTGCTCAAATCAGGACAACAGACTAATCAATCCACTTTCAATACCTATACTCTGTAAAGATAAATATCAAATGGATCTTTATTGTGCCATATTCTTTCAGAATATGATCGATCATGGCTCACCACAGCTTCCTGTCTTTTGTTGCTCTTATTTTCTCTTTTTTGATAACTTTTTCTATTTGTGTGTGTTGTTTCTCCATCCATTTGCTCAAACTTGTTAAGTAACTATTCTATCTCTTTCTATGTACCTTGTTCTGTGAAGTTGTGGTCGATTATGGCTCTCCACAGCTTTCTGTCTCTTGTTGCTCTCAGTAATATTATCTTTTTATGACACCTTTTTCTATTTGTGTGTGTTGCTCCTCCATCCATTTGCTCAAACTTGTTAAGTAACTATTCTATCTCTTTCTATGAGCCTCGTTCTGTGAAGTTGTGGTCGATTATGGCTCTCCACAGCTTTCTGTCTCTTGTTGCTCTCAGTAATATTTTCTCTTTTATGACACCTTTTTCTCTTTGTGGTACTGGATCCTATGTTCATTTGCATAAATGTATTAAATATTTTTTTCACTGCTTACCTCTGCTTTTCTTGCCTTAAATGTATCCTGTAAATGATCTTTTCTTATTATCTATCCTAAAACTTTCAACTGTTTTTTTTCTGATTATTATGAACAGTTTCCTTGTAATTCCTGATTACTGTAGAACTTTCTCATCTCTCAAATGCTTTTAAAAAAAAACAAATCAATCAACATTTTGCTTACTTCAATTTCAATCACATTTAGTCAATGATTTATAATCATCAAATTTTTTCTTCACATAAGAATAAAATAAAAACTAAATAAGTGTAATAAGAAAGAGAGCAAGAGTAGGCTTAAGAAAGTTTTATTCTGCTTAGAATAATTGATACCAGCATAGTGACTATTTATAGTCCTCTACAAACAAAAGAGTTCTTTGAAGGGAGATAATTATAAAGCAAGGGAAATTACTTTTGATTGTTTTATCACAATAAGTTTTGAATATTTGCTGAAAACTCAATTAAAAAAGTTAAAAAATTATTTTTCTTTCATGACCATTATATAGCAATCAATCTGTTATAAGATACAGTTATTCATTTGTTATTGTTTCTTTCACGTTAACCTTTTACATTTTTCTTTTTTAATTTTACTTCTTTCTTTCTCATATAAAAATATTTCCTTCTGTCTTTTATTCTGAACTTCTCTCCTTTCCATCCTACCTCTCTTCTTCTCTCCTTTCCATCCTACCTCTCTTCTTCTCTCCTTTCCATCCTACCTCTCTTCTTCTCTCCTTTCCATCCTACCTCTCTTCTTCTCTCCTTTCCATCCTACCTCTCTTCTTCTCTCCTTTCCATCCTACCTCTCTTCTTCTCTCCTTTCCATCCTACCTCTCTTCTTCTCTCCTTTCCATCCTACCTCTCTTCTTCTCTCCTGTCTTTGTATTCTGTTACCTTGAATGCATTCTTGTTCAATCTAATCTCTCAGTCTTGGAGATGTTGACCCATCAACTACAGTTATATCAAGCTGATTCTCCCTCATCATTCTCCTTCCAATTTCCATGTTTTTTAAAGAAATTGGCTAAAAAATCATATTTAGGAAATAGTTCCTTCAAGCAGAAGACGCAATCCTATTAGGAAGAAGAAGCAGGTGACCTCAACTAAACTGGCATGATGACAAAATTTCAGAGGAGAAACAAGATTTTTTTCCCCCTTTTTCTTATTGATGTGTTCAAACCCTCAACAATGTGATGGGCAAATTGCTTAACCTTGTTGTATAAAGTGGCAGTTGAGTTGATTAAAGAAAAACTGAATGTTTCAAACCTTTCAAGAAGCATTTCTATGACTTATTGCAAAAAAATAAATAAATAAACACACCAGAATGAATTGGAAGGAGTGGCAAACACAGACAAGATTTGAAATCTGGTCCTATCTGAATTTGAACTCTGGCTGATGACAGCATAATCTTCACTGCTATAACACTTTGACACAATGTCCCAGAGAGAACAAGACAAACTCAATAATGACAGAAACCTTTTACTCTCCTCTCTCCTAACTTGTTTTTTTCTCCTTCCTCTTCTTAACTTCTTCTTTTTTGTGAAGGCAAACCTCGTTGCACTCATTTCTCAAATATGTTCTAATGCTTTTCAGCTATTCTTCTTCCTGGCTGTCAAGACAAAACATAATAAAAGTTAGAATGCTCAAAACAAATAAAAAATAAAAATCTGTCCTCAGAACATGTACAGAATGCAATGGATAAATTGTCATCTATATTACGCCAAAATGAAAATAACTTAGACATTTCATTTTAACAGTTATATTTACCAAAATTACACAAAAATATCTTGAAATACTAAAGAATAAATTTTTTCAATAAAATCACCATTGGCTTCAACCAATCTCCAGCAAATCTTTTGGGTGGTATCCATGTTTAAGTTGGTGAATACTGCCATAATCCTTGCCTTCAGTTCATATTTGGTATTACAAAGAGTTTTGTTGGTCTCTCCCTCAACTGCACCCCACACATAATCAAGAGGATTGCAGTCTGGGGAGTTAGGTGGCCGGATATAAGGGGTGATGTCATTGCAGAAACTATCTGACAACTATGACTGGGTTCTCCTGTTTGTGTGGCATGGTGCAGAGTCATGTTGCTAGACATCGGGTCTTTCAGCAGCCACCCTCTTGACCCAGAGCAGTACTACCTCCTCAAGGCACTTGATGTAAGCTTCCATATTGAGTCTGAGGCCCTGTAGGAAGATCAATTGAGGTACAACGTTGCCATTATTAGTAATCATGCCAAACACCATGATGTTGACTGAATACATAATCCAACTCTTTTTGAATCCTCTGAACTGTCCTCAGATTGACATACAAACACTCTGAAATGTTCGTATTGGTGCTTCCAGTGCAAATGCTAAGTATGCCGTTTCCAAATTTCTGCATCATGGTGTTCTTTTACTCACAGATGGTGCCCAACTGACCCTATTATACTGTGTAGTTGACAAAATCAGAAACAAACAATGCTCATGTGCAAAATTAAAAACATAAAATGGTGACAATTTACCCATCGCACACTGTATATACATACAAAACTCCAATACCATACAAAACACATTTTTCCCTCCAAATATTAGAATTTCTGGGATAAGGTGTTATCATTATTTTAATTATTTTCAAACTAATATCTTCATCTTTGTTGTTATTATCATCTGATCACCTTCTGTCTGAATATTTTGGAATGAAGTGTTATTATTATTTACATTGAAACTAATATATTTTCTTTGTTGTAATTATCTTTGCTTTCTGTCTGAATTTCTGGGATGAGGTTTTATCATTATTTGAATTTTTTACATTCAGGCTAATATCCTCACCATCGTTGTTATTATTACGTGATTGCCTTCTGTTTGAATTTCTGAAGTGAAAAATTGCCGTAATTCCCCATGTATAATACGCCTGTAGCAGGCACTCCATGCGGCCCCGTATCACAGAAAGGGGTGAACGAGGTCACAAGAGGCCCGCTGACATTTTTGAAGACGTTAAATCTGACGGTGAAACAATATAAACGACAGAACGAGGATATGTATGATAAATGCTAATTTATTCAGGGAAAGAAAAAGGAAATAAAGATGGTCGGAACGGTGGAGGTGCAGTTTTAGTGCAGGCATTGATGGTCGAGGTTGGTGTTGGTAGTTGCTAGGATCATCGTTGTTGGGGGTTGAAGCTGATGTGGGTTGTTGCCAGGATGATCGCTTGGTGGTTGTTGAAGTTGATGTTGGTTGATGCCAGGATGATCGTTGTTGGTTGTTGAAGCTGAGTCGTTGCCGGAGTGCCAACTTGTTGCTGTAGTTCGTGTTGCCAACTTGTTGTTTGTCATTGCTGGGATGCCAACTTGGCGTGTTGGGAAGGAGAGAGAGAGAGAGAGAGAGAAAGTTCCCAACTATCATCAAGTTGGCAGACAAAAAAAATGGGAGCGTAACTTAATACACAGCCCGTTGATCGGCGTCCTTGGCCAATGAAGGCCAAGGGGTCTGCGTAGCCGACCGTTTGTGACAAGGGAGACCAGCAAGAGAAATTGGCTAAGCTAACCGAAAAGTCTCTATAATAAAATACTACGAGGTTAGCTAAAGAGAAGTAAGGTCTAAAAATGACTAGTAGTATTTTACAACTAGGTTTGTAATATAACCTAACTAAAAAGGGGATTTGCTAGTCGCTCCGACGTGTTAACAGTGTGTAAGGAGCATGAATGAGAGGTCAAGGTCGAAATGACCTGTTCCTCTGCCGGTTCAAGGACAGAAGGAGGAGGTAACTCCGACACGCCTTCATCCATTTTGTGCACACCTAAAATTGTGCTGAAAGTGTGGGAAAATGCTTTTACTCATGCATAATATGCACACCTTGTTTGGTAATCAAACCCTATAAATTGTACATCTCCAATTTCATTATGGCCAGCATTTCCTACTCTTATTTAAAAAAATGGTTTTAAATTGTTATATTTCATGCTAAGGGAATAAACACATAACACCAGGTGGATACTAGAAAAAAGGTTTATTGTACACAACAAGTACAATATGAAATACGGTACAGTTATACACACAGGTCAATCTAGTAGTGAGTGCCACTAATTGGAAGGTTGGACGTGCTTGTGTTGTCTCGCTCACTCATCCTCTCTCTTGTAAACGGTTGGCTTTATAGGTACTTGGTTCCTATAGTGTAATCATTCATG